TCCTCTTCAGTCTCATCTACTAGAAGGCAGAATAGTTTCTTGCATCTATGCCCTGCGGAGTATAGATCATCACAATTGAAGCACTGCCCCTTCGTGCGCCGTTCTGCCATCTCGGCTCGGGACAGACGCCGGATGGGGGGTGACACCCTGCTGCTCCCTGTCTGTGATACTGATCTGGGGGGTTACCGGTGTGGGTCCCCTGCTCCCTGTTGGGTGCAGGGGTAGACACTCCCACTGGCCTTGACGGTGCCCAAGTCGTGGCTGGTCGTCTAATGCTAAAGGGTCCCTGAGTAAGCTGCATTTTTCGTTCAAAGGCACGGGCGAGGTTCATTGCCGTAACCAGATTTGGGGGGTGCTGCATTTCTACGTCCACCCTTAAGGGTTCTATCAGCCCTGCTGTGAACATGTCCACCTGCTGATCTGGTCTGACCGTGGCCGCTCTGGCAAGCAAGGTTTGGAACTGGCGTTGATATTCAGCCACGGTTCCCATTTGCTTGAGGTTGATTAGCTCACCCAGTGGGTTGCTCGTCATCGGGGGTCCAAACCTGAGGAGGCAGTAGGACCTGAACTGCTCCCAGCTGAGCCCGGGTTCTTCTTGTTCCACGCGATAGAACCAGAGTTGTGCCTCTTCCATAAGGTGGAAGGCTGCCAGGCTGACCTTGTCTCTGTCATCCGTGCGCTGATTGCGAAAGAACTGCTCGCAGCGGTACAACCAACCTAATGGGTCTCCGATGCCGTCGTAAGATGGAAATTCAAGCCGGCTGTACTTGGGGATAACTGCAGTCATCGGTGTTGTGGCTTGATGTTCGTTGGCTGATTCTATCCCGTCCGTGCGGCGACTGCTGGTAGAGGCTAGTCCCTCCGAGTTTTTTTCTTTGTTGGAGAGGAACGCTTCTAACAGGCGATGCAGCTCCCGGACGTCATCTTTGACCTCTCGGACCTCCATACTGGTTTCTGTGAGCCTATGCTCCAGTTCATGGACTCTGAAAGACAACGGCTCCTGTTCCCCCATGACGGTTGGCTCTGATACCAAGATGTTATGGGCCCGAGCGTAGGATCGCGTCACGGGTCGCTCCACCGCATGAACCTCAGATCTTTCCTTGCCCTTGGCCTTGCGTACAGGCCCTATTTTGACTATCTCAGGGGTGATTTGTCCAAGAGATCACCGAACTCTCCTTTACTCTCTTTCTTGACTGAATATTCGATATCCTCATTCAATAATAACGTCTCATTAAATAGGAGATTACAAGAGGAGGGTTCCTTGTTGGATTTGGCTAGGTTAGTCCTAAACGGACTCAAACTCCTACTTCTAATTAGACTACTTACTTTTAATGGTACTACAATTCCTTCTAGAATAGGGGATGAGATAAGGGAGAATGGGATAAGGGATAAGGGATAAGTGATAAGGCGCATCTTCTTGTCGTGTTTGGATAAGGGTGGGCCCACCCTATGAGTTGTCCTGTGGGCCCCGCTCTGCTGCTGCTACTGGTGTGCGTGCGCGCGGCTCATGGTGCCGCCGCCGCACGGTGCTGCGTGTGGTGCCGCTGCCGCGCGGTGCTGCGCGCGACTTATGGTGTCGCTGCCGTGCGGTGCCTGTCGTGTGCGCGCTGCTGCCTCAACTGCTGTCGTGTGGTGCGGGTGCTCATAACATAGACCTTGCCAAGAGTTGATAAACTCTATAATAGAGCTTGGGGGAATCTAGATAAGCCTAGCCCTAGCTATTGAATCGAGGAAGAATTGCCAAAGACTTCTGGCCACAATATGGTTAAAGAAAAGGTGTCCAATAGATTCTCCATCCTTATATAGCACATCAGATACATAGTTGGTGGGTGATGAGATAAGTGAATATGAAATAGGAGATAAAAGTAGGGAAGACAAATAAAGTAGAGATATTTTTATTAGAAAAATTAATTAATAGGATAAAACGAGTTAGTCGGGACTTCGAATCACCTACATCACAAGAACTATAACCACACCTACCCACAAAACACCACCTTTGTGCATTAAGAACATCTACCCATGTATAATAACATGTAAGAGCATGAATTGTTCCCCATGTGTGGCTAAGATGTCACGTGGGTAGGTGTGGGTTGAAAATTCAGACTCGTTAGTCAGGAGGAGGGGGGGTTAGTTTTATCTAGGGGTGGCAACAAGTTGAGCTTTTCACGAACTGCTCGAACTCGGTTCGTGAAAAGCTCGGCTTGGCTCGGTCATATATATATATTATAATTCTTAATTTTTTAAATATCAAATAAAAATATTTTTATATATAATTTTTTATTTTTATAAAATATTTTTCCTCAATTCGAGTTTGAAATGAGTTTTTCACTCGAGTCGAGCTCGAGCTCAAAGTCGAGCCTTATACAACCTTGGCAAGTCGAGCTTGAGCCGCATACTATTCAGCTCGGCTCGACTCGGCTCAAATCCACCCCTAGTTTTATCATAGAAAAATAATAATAGCTCATATGGTCAAAGAGAGCTATGGATTCATTGAAAAGTCAAAGTTAAGTTTAAGATGATGCTAAAAAAAGTTGAAGTTTCTTCGGATAATGAGCCTTATTATGTGCCTCGCAATTTCTTTCTTTTTTTTTTTTCAAAAGAAGAACCATTAAAAATATTAAGGATACATCATACACATTTCCATCACAACTCTTGAAAGGTTCTCGAGAAAAACGCATGAACCAAATAGTATGTTAATGTTGCTTGATATTATTGCTATTTCTACTTGCAACTGGGTTGGTCAATACAAAATTGTGAGAAAACTTTTTTCTTTCTTTTTGTTTTCACCAAAAACTTCCATGAATTTTCTGAATTGATTGAAGGATCAATACAAATTGGTGTATTTCTATCACTCATCCATTTGTGACTGTCACATTGTTTTTAAAATCGGACCAGGACGGTTGATCGGAAAAACTAGGAACTGGTTAGGTGACTGGTTTTGTTTTACCTTAGAATGGTTTTGGTGATTTTTATATTTTTAAATTTTTTATATTTTTATCAGAATGGACCATCCATTCAATTTGAACGATAGGACCATTTGACCCGAAAACCAGACCCCTGACCGATTCGTTGTCCAATTCAATTTTAAAAACCTTGCTATGTCATGTGATGTAACAATTAAGACACATTTTTCAACCCCTAAATCAAACCAAATAACACCTCTATCTATCATAATCATCATTTATTACCTCAGTTAAATAGAACCCATTAGCATGTAGCAGCATATGTCTATGGGGAAACTAATCAAGTGGCAGACTGGCTCGTCAATCAAGACTTTTCGTCCCTATAGGGTATAGTATGTCTCAATCTTAGTGATCTTCCTTAGAATCTAGCTTGTATTTGTAAGTCTGATTTATGGGACATGCTACCCCCCC